GTAAAGATAATATTTCTATCTCTCTCTGCTGTGCATCAGCCTCCTTGCAAAAGAAGGAAAGACAAGGCTGTTTGAGCCCCATGCAGAGCCCAGAATTTTATGTCAGAATCTGGAGCTGAAAATATTTCCATGGACATTGAAATTTATGTTTTATGTGTCTGGACAGAAACTGTGAAGCAGCCAGGGATATGAAGTACCAAAGCTGCAACATTATGTGCTCCCAATCGGAGAAATGCCAAAATAAGTATTCTGTTTTTTCTCTTTTTAACAGTAATGTAAATGGGGAGTGACAAGCTAAAATCCTTGCCAGTGAAGTTTGTAAACTCTAGGGATAGATTAGACTGTAAACAAATAATTGAACTCTATTAATTAAATGGTCATTACCCCAAAAGAGGTGTGCTTTGGTATAGGTAGAAGGCAATACATCTAGGAAATGAGAATACAGGTTTCGCTCATTGATGTGAAGCAATGCTGTCCAGGAAGTACAGGGCACAAATTGCTCCCATTTTATGGGTTTTGTGCAGTACAGTTGTAGCAGCTTGTTACTATGAGACTGAGATGTGCGAAAAGGACAACAGCAAGTAAGAGAAGGAGAGTGAGGTTGTAACTGAGCGTGGAGTTCCGATAACTGGATTTGAGGAAGGATAAAGAAATTCTGAAGAGGACTCAAGGAGTTTTTTAAAAAAACTATCATCATTTAAGGGGAGTTATTTATTCAGCTTATCAAAGACGTTTGAGAGTTGGCTTCATCATTTCACAGACTTCTTTACAAAGATTTTTGACCAGAGCTTATGTAACTTTGTGATGAAAGTGTGACAAAGTCCAGCGATTAGCAGCTGAAGTTAAACAAATTCAGCCTTCAGCTGAATCTTCATTGCCTGTCAGGGAAAGTAACTGAAGCCTTAAACAACTCATATAGAGTGAAGTGGTCATTATAGGCTGCTTTAAAGTACAAGTAAACTATATATTTGTAACATTAAAAGATAGTTTTAGAAGTCTGCTTTTGGGAGGCATTTTGTGGCCTGTGTATGTGGAAGATACAACCAGTGGACCATACCTCCAAAGTTTGGCATCGGTGACTGTGAATGCATGCTGGTTCCTCTCCCTCAGGATCATAAACACTCTTGTGCACTTTTATGATTTTGGAGGTTGTCAGTCACCATATTTTTACTTTACTGCCGTTAGTACCTTTATTTCTGTTTCATAAGGTGCATATCATAACATGGACATGTTGCCACATGAGCACTGGGAATTAAATTTGAATGAGGAACTCATGAAGTCACCCCACCTTGCTCTTTACATCACTCTTATCATGTACAAATACAGGTCCTGATACTTGCCAGCCATGGCCTGACTTTTAAAGACAAACAAATAGGTGCCAGTTTGCTTTTCTATGGTGCATTTTGAAGGGCAGTGAACAAATTCAGGAGTAAAGTCAATCCCTATCTGGCAGCAGCAGCTTCTACGAGAGGGACAGATAACTGGAGCAAAAAGCCTTGTCAGCTGCCACAAGTTTATCTGCTGCTGCCTGAGTCAACACTTCACATTAGTTTGAAGTACCAACCTCTAAATTACCTTTAAAGAAATCCCTCCCGAGCAAGTCTGTGCAGTCCTCTCAGCATTCCGCAATCAGCTTGGAAGAGTTTTTCACTCCCACTTTTCTCTGCTGATTGCAGCAAAACATGGACTCTTAAAGCAGTTGAGCTGAGCACCCATGCCTGCACTAGTACCTCTCACCCAGCATGTACTAAATGCAGCAAAACCAACCTTCTGTGCATGCTCTGAGTTGGCATTCACCTAGTTGTGATTTATCAAGGACAAGGGCATGTGTAGCTTCTGGTTAATGCTGAAAGACAGCCACTGCACTGCAGCTGCTTCAGAGGCAGCATGCGCCGGTGTCTGCCTCCCCCTCCTCAGCCTCTACCTTCTGATGCATGGTTTGGAAGTCCCTTTTTCCACACTGTTCCTGATCTTAGAGTCATAGAATGGTTTGGGTTGGAAGGGACCTTAAAAATCATCTAGTTTCACTCGACCTGCCATAGGCAGGAACACATCCAGATATATGCATCCTTAGTCAGAGTCACAGAATGGACATTTCATCCTGAGTCATGAACAGGTGCCATGGAGCACCCCAATAATTTTGGCGAGATATTTTATTTGATGATGTATGTACCAGGAGGCAGTCTGAGCTAACTGCCTCTTTATTTTTAATGTTCTTCTTAAATATGAAAACAATTACGTGGTGCTACAAATATGTAATTTGCTCAAACTGAGGATGCAGGCTGTTATTCTAACACTCTCAGATGAAATGTGAACTATCCATAGAAATTAGGAATTAAACTATGAAAATCAGTGAGCACTCCAGGTTCTGTATTAATGCTACTTGTTATAGGCATTCTGGCTACAAAACCTTTGTTTTGTAAATTGTATACAAATATTCTACAACATACAGTCACTGATCTCACCTTTTCCGCTTGTATTCATTTATCGTATAAATATTGATGCTGTGGACTAAAATAGTTACAGCGGGGATGAATTACTCCAGTGTAAGACCTAAGCTTTGCTATTGTAAATACATAAATGCTACAGTATTTCATTAAAAACAAGTATTGTTATTCTAAAATATGTTCAGTATCTTGGCATAAAAAAGTTTCATGGTCAGCAGTTACTCCAGGATTTCAGAGAGCTTTACGATGTCTGCAACACGAGTGTGTGTTGATCTCTGATTATCATCATTTCTGAAGACCATCAGAGCACTTCAGTTAATGACACAAACAGAACAGAATAGTTTTAATGAAAAACATTAGTGCCATAATATTTAACTTGAATCAGAAACCATTTCTTATACTGCAAACTGCTGGCAACTGTAATTCTCCTTCCAAGGGAGTATTTATGGGGCCCTTTTCCCTTGAAGAGTGTGAATCCTAGTAGCATGCTGAATAAGTAGAATTTGTCTTTTTAAGTTTCAGGGAACATTTTAAGATGTCATAAAAAAAGGTTATTCTAATAGTGTGGTAGGACATTGCTGGATATTGCTGCTTTTACTTACTCTGCCAATGACCGAGACTGGTAGCTGTGAACACCTACATACTAACTCCTCTTCTGACAGCAAATCCTTTTGTGGATGTAGGCAAGTCTCCAAATCTCTCCTCCTCTATTTCCGTTCTTTAAAAATAGTGATTATTAGTAAGTGCTGTTTAATAGTATTGCATACTATATTTGTCCAAAATGAGGAGCACAGCAGCAGCGTGTGCCTGCAATAATTAATATGTCAGAACACAGTACAAATTAGTTGCAATGCTATATTTGTCGTAGCAAAGCCATTTTGCTCAAACAGGATGCATGTGCCTGTTTTGAGGTAACGACAGATTCAGCACCAAAATGAAGCAGAGAAAAGCCAAATGGCCCTGGCTCTTCTGAAGTTCTTCAACAGAACTGGGCAAGCTAGGTAACAGGGTTCTTCTGTGTAGATGGTACATGGAACATAACAGTTTGGCTGACTGGTGTGACCTTTCTGCTTTATTCATAAAAAAGGTAGAGTTTCAAAACTCAGCCTTTTTTCAAAACTCTAAGCAATGTTTTCCAGCCTATGCCACACTGCAGGACTCTGGGCAGACAGTCTGCAGGGCAGCTCAGGCACAACCACGTGCAGTTCACACAACTTTTCTGTCCTGATTTAAAGAGTGTGCTGGGGATGAGGATGAAGGGAAAGCATGCAAGCAGGGTTCCAGGCTTTGGGTCTGGTGTAGCACCCTGGGCTCTGCTGCTTTTGGGCCCCCATATTGGGAGCAAAGATCAAGGCAAAGGTTTAGTGTCTGCAGTAGTAGGCTGAAGCCAAATGACTGAGTCATGTACTCAAAGACTTGACTGACCTCTGAGTACAGTTCTATCTTGCTGTTTACACTTTACACATAAATATGTATAACCCACCAGTTCTTATGAATCAATATTGAAAGAAATGAGATTTATAAAGTAGGTAAATCCAGCATCTAGATCCTTCATGTAAAAGGTCAACTGTGGGAAATCATTTCTGTGGAACATAACCACGGAAGGTAGGTGAAGATGGACAAAACACAGCCAGAACATCTACTGCAGCTGTTTAAGATGCTGCAGTACTAATCAAGGGAGTACTGCAGAGGGCTTTCTTGTGATCAAGCCCTGAAGGAACCAGAGCACTTCTGGGACCTGGCACAATTCCGTCCAACTGCTTCGTTTTCCATCACTACTGGGACACAGCATCAGCGGCAGCGAGCACACAGACGTTATGGTGATGCTGCAGTCTGTGGGTAGGCTCTGTGGTCTTGCTCTGACACCAGCAACCTGAGATTTGCTCTCAGTGTCAAAACAGGTTGTAATTAAGACCTCTTTTCATTATGTAAGAAATGATCTTTGGCTGGGTGCCTGTTCCCAAACCTTGTGTATCCGTGCAAAGGGGGGAAGTGGCCTGCAGGAAGTGTCTGGGACACAGTGTCTGTGGTGAGCAAGACAGAGGAAATACACAGGTCTTGATTCTTTGCTGCCCTGTAGCTCTGAACAAGGTGGTCAGTCAGAGCTCCCGGGCCTGCCCTAGACTGACCAGTTTACAAAAAGCTCGATGTAAGGAGCTAGGTCTGGTCCGCAGGGACCAGCAGCAGCAAATGGCACACAGAAGAGGCATGCGTGGAAATGGACCGTTGTGCAACCTGTCACAGAAAGATATAGTACTTCCATTTCCACTTGACAATAAGAAGTGCTTGTCATTAATCAAGGTAGCGTAAAACATTTCTCTCAGCAATGGCCACTATAGTTCCTACTTTGTTACCAACACTATAAAAGCTTGCGTATTGAAGGTACCTGTGTGAAGCTGACCACCTTCCCCCTTCTGAGTCTATGGAGAGGAAGAGGAGAGCTCTTGAGTATTGCTCCTTTACAGTGAGGCATGCAGTGCACACACTGTAGATAGGCATGCTGTGATTTCGGTTCGACCACATATAGACTTTCTACCCATTTTTTTTTCCTAGTGTCCAACAAGCATCATTTTATGGACAGCAACTTGCTCTACCAGTGCAGAATGAATTTCCGCCGCCGGCGGCGATTAATGGAGCTCCTCACTGAGAAATCTCGCTTGATGCCAGAAAGCCACGACAGCCCGTTTTGCCTGCGCAAACAGAACCATGACAACAGAAAACACACCAGTTTTCTCTCAGGTGACTCATCAACTATGCTACTGTCTGTAGGGCAACTCCATGGGATGTTAAAAAATCCCTTTTGGACAAGGGGTTTCAGTGTTTAGCTCCCTGGGGTGGTTTTGTATGTGTAGCAATAGCATTTCAGATGCTGGTCAAAATATGGTGTCCGTGAACAAAAAGAACTGGTTAAAATCACCCAAGCCCAAAGTAATATGTCACATTTTCTATGTGGAGTTTTCAAGAAGAGTAAAATTGAGGGGAAGGGGTATTGCAGCATTTGCTGTATAACATCTAGTAAAAACTAAGAGAATAAATGCAAAGTAAAAAGAAAGATGTAAAAACTTATTTCCTTATAGTAAAATATCCCTTGGAAGACACTGCAACGGGAGCAGTTCAGCCATCATGTTCGCTACAATATGCTTATGCAGTGACTTTTCCCACTGTGTAAAACACACTAACCCCTTCCCAGTGTTGTCACTGAAAGCATGGCTTATTGCTGTTGTTTTAAAGAAACCGGGGAAATGGGTGTAATTATTGATATGGGTTCCCTTTCTCTCTGCATCTTCTCTCTGCTTGTAGTGAGTCCCACCAAGGAGATCAAGATCGTGTCAGCAGTACGGAGGAGCAGCATGAGTAGCTGTGGCAGTAGTGGGTACTTCAGCAGTAGCCCAACGCTCAGCAGCAGTCCCCCAGTGCTCTGCAACCCTAAATCTGGTGAGCACCAGCATTGTGTACAATGCACAGGAGCCAGGGCACAGGCATCTCTTTGGGGAGAAAATGATGTGAAGAATGCTAGCATCATGCCTAAGTTTATCTTTTTGAAGGATAGATTAAAAATTCACAGTGCAACAGGTTTTGTAGGCCAGAGGGCACTATTATCTGCTAGCCTCAAGTCTGGCTGAACACAAGACAGACGTCTGCCTCCAATAATCTCTGCATCAAGCCCATAACCGTGGCTCGAGCTGCAGTTTATCTCTTAGGAGGACATGCAGTCAGGGGCCCAGATTTGCCTTTTCATTGCCAAGCTCTGAACTGATTCACATCTCCTCCTAGAGACATTCCTTCAGTGCAAGTCAGAGGAGAGTTTAACTATCCAGTGGCCTCTTGAGTTGCTATGAAATAACTCAGAAAACAGCAGCCTCTGAAGAAAGAGGAAGCATTGTTTCAGCCTGTCAGGGGCCATTTCAACATTTTCATTTGTTTTGGTCTTACACCGCTCTGTTTAGGAAGGTAAAAGTAGTGTTGAAGCTTATTTTCCCTTTGAAAGGATTTCCTATCCCACACCGGAAGGTTAAACACACCCATTCTTCCACAGTTCACTCAGAATTATTTCATATTGTACATCTGGGAAGGGGAAAACAGACCAGGATAGATATTGTTTCAGCCTCTCTGTTTCCCTAAGAAACAGCCCTGAATTTCAAAACAGAGTCCCTGCTGCCCTTTGTGCTTCTTATTATTTCAAATTTACCAAGTCTCTGCTGATGGTATGGGGAGTGTTCTGCAACATGGGGAGCCTTTGGTGGACATGTACAAGTTCTGTTTTCAAAGGGATGCTGCCATTTGAAGTGATTACTAGAGCATGCCTCAAGCACTGTATGAATCTTGTTCAAAACATTTACAATTTGCTCCAGAGATGGGTGAGCTAAAGTGCATTTCATTCCTTCTGTGCAGAGTGACCAGCAGAAAGACAGGCCTAGTTACAGCAATATTTTCTGTCTCTCTCCTTTTAGCACGTTTTCTTCCCTCTCCTTAGGCTCTTCAGGGAATTCAGTAGGAGGTTCTAAGTTAAAATAATTTGAAGGACTCAGTAGCGTTGCATGCGCAGCAACCATGACCCCCCGCACCAGACCTTCTGTCCAGTTTAGGAGAACGCTCTCCGTACGGGTGGGCATTGCATCCTTGGAGTATGTTGCTGTTCAGTGTTCACACCACCTTTTGGTGTGTTGGCCCCTATGTGCAATGGGTTTGCCCCTACATGAGGAGTGCCACAGTATCATGTTTTGGCAGAATATCTCCCAGGTAACTTCCTGGAAAAGACTTGTATGGGGAGCTCTTTGGCCTCAGTTCATCATTAATTGCATCCTGGAAACTTTTCGGGGACAGATAAAATAGCATTCATGTGCTGTCCATAAATTGTTTGTTATCTGAAGTATGCTGACTATTCTGTTCCTTTATGGTTCTGATTATATACGAAGTGTCAACCCATGGGTGGTGAGAACAAGTTTATTTTAATGCAGCTGATTACACAACACTGGAAGAAAAAGGAGAGGCTGATGTTGCCCTTGCATAAATTCTTTATTTTTTTTTAATAAATTCTCCTGTAGAACTAGTTTTCAAACACTAAATAGCTTTAACAGACTCATATTTGAAAGAAGACAGCAATGGACTTATAAACAGACTTCTTTTTAAGAGTTATACGATTACTGGCAGCGTAGGGTTATTTCTCCCATAGTGCAAGTACAGATCCACACGTCATCTTGCTTAGGTTAACATAAGGCTGTCAGATGTAAATATTAGGGAGGAATTCTTAATCCTCTGCTGGACTATAAAGTGATTTTTTTTCACAGAGAGCTTCCTGCTCTCCAGACCCAGAATATGCTGCTGAGCTGAGTGCTAATAAACACAAGGCAGAGGTATATTTATTGTCAGATGAGTTCTCTTGCAGGCAAACACTTAAAACCACCCAGGTCATGACCTGACCAGTCATGTAGAAAAACAATCATCAAACAAAAAAACCTTTTGGATGTGTAATGAAGGGAGGCATGCAAGGGAGTCCTGCCGGGATGATTTACCTGATTCTGACTTGTAGAATAAGCATAATCATACAGGTTTTTCACATTGATCAGGCATGCTGTGCAAAGCGTAACAATGGCTAAATGACAATTTGTCAAAATCCATGGGAAAGTAAAAAAATTACATGTTGGTTTGTATGCTAGAATTCTGCCTGCTCCCATGAATGTCATGAAGAAACTCCGGAATGTCTTCAAATACCGTCTGTGGAAAATTTTATGTTCCACCTGTGACTGAAAAGGCAGATACCATCACAGTTCTTTATCACTAGAAGAAAAGCAGCCTTAATTTTAAAGGTGAAGTGGGCAAACAGGGTGAACAACATGTATCTTTACATTGTCCTCTGTCTTGTGGAGCATTTATAGGCAGGTAAAAAATGGTACACAGAATGGTATTGATTTGATTTGGCAGAACTTTAAATGTACTTGTTCAGAGTAAAATTAATTATCTCATTACACAGCAAGGCAATGTGGAATCACCTGCAGAAACTCACTGGTATTTCCTTTCGTGTGAAATCCCAGATGGAGTTAGATGTCTGTGCCTACAGCTGCAGAACTCTCTTGGGATAATTCCTGACCTAACCAGATTTTTTTTCTTACTTAATTCTGTGATTCAAATCTGACTCAAATGAAATAGCAGAGATCACCCAAAATGCACAGAGCAAGCTGGGAAGAAGAGCTGCTCCATGCCAGGATGGTCTGTCCCTTTTTTCAATACTGGACTCAGGAACAGCCAGTTTTGATATTTGTGATAGTATTTTGTGGCTCTTGATTGCAGACAACAAAGTCTGTTGACTAAATGCCCTGATTTTCCAAAGATCTCATCTCAGATCTCATCTACTGTCTTTTCCTTGGCTCTTTTACACACTCTGAAACAGTGTATGGGAAGTGGGACTGAAAAGATGTTGTACCCCAAAATTATATCTGATTTATTGGGAGAATTTCTAGAGGAATGCTTATACTGAATATTCATTTGTGTACCTCCACAGTATTAAAGAGGCCTGTGACTGCTGATGAGCTCTTGATGCCTGGAGCCCCATATGTCAGAAAAACTTTTACGGTACGTCTCCAGTATTTTTCTGCATTTTCTGCACGTTGTGTGCTTAAGGTAATGCAAACAGACATTTTCTGATGAGTTAATTAGAGCTTATTTGCATTTGCTGAGGTTTGTACTTTAAAATCCCCAACTCCGTTATCAGTACTTCCACACATTTCAGGTCTGATTCTGCAGTTGTTTATCCTGTCCTTATGCCAATGTAGTACTACTGACTTAAATGGAGTATAAAATTACACAAAGCCAGTAAGATTTGTATTATACAAACTCCTCTAGACTTTGTGCTCCTGGTAATACTTGCTCTGCAGGAGTGGAGGAGTGGATAACCTACCCAAACTGAAGTCTTCTACTTAGGCATTTGTAGACTGTGATGCAACATAAATTCTGATTCATATTCACTTTAGGAGAAAACCTTTCAGTAAAGACATTTTTGAACCCAGTCATTGGAGCATTGCATTTTACAGCCTCCTAGTTATATAAAACAAAAAAAAGGAAGTTAACTAAGAGCAGCAGGAATCACTTGGATAGAGCCTTTCCCATGAGTGATATTAGCAGCCTGTACACAATGACCTTTACTATGTGTTGGAGGTATGGAGATGCTGAAATTATGTCTTGAACCATTTAGATGTTACCCCCTTGAATTTCACGGAGCTACTTAAAGGTGATCACATCCTTCTTTTCTCTTTCCAGATTGTAGGCGACGCGGTGGGCTGGGGCTTCGTGGTGCGGGGCAGCAAGCCCTGCCACATCCAGGCTGTGGACCCCAGCGGGCCGGCAGCTGCAGCTGGCATGAAGGTGGGTGCTCAAAACAGGATGAGTTACCCAGGGTGTTTGTGCTGGTCAGTGAAGGCCTCGGGCTGCCTGTATTTTGGGAGGGAAAGATGCCTTTGTTTCCAGGGTTGAGTACCTTTGTCTGAGTTTTGTGCGTTTGTGCTCAGTGAGTTCTGCTGCCTTTCACACCCCTCCTGTTTCTTTACTTCTGTCCCTGAGATTCTTCAAGTCCCTTTTCCATATGAAACTCATTTATCCTTTCCAAGTTGCTGTCCTGATCTTTTCCCTTTTTTGGGTTTTGGTTTCTTTTCCCGTTGGTTGGCTGGTTTTGGTGCTGGTGTTGTGTTTTTTTGGCTGGGGTTTGTGTTTTGTTTGTTTTGGGTTTGTTTTTTTCACCTTTTTCCAACTCTGCACAACTTAGTTTCCCTCTTTGCAAGTTTAGGTGATTGCTGGAAAGCTTCTGGACTTTGCCTGTATAGGAAGAGGCTAAGTCAGACATACCTATTGAAAGTGAAGCTAGCATAACCCATTGTTCACTGTAAAGCAGTTCAGATTCAAGACATTTTGAAAAGAAGAATGCATGATACTTTAGTATATCATAAAAAGTTAAAATAATTTCATATATGATTTACGAAAAATAAATACAAATTCTATGTGAAGGCTTCAGTTAATGCAGAGCCCATTGACTTACCTGTGGGTTTGGGTCACATTCTGCATATATCTGTGAATTAATCCCTGTTTTGCACAGTGGGAAAAATAAAGGCAAAGCATTATCCCAAGTACCGATAAAATTGAGAAAGGGAGACTATCTGCTATACCTGCTCCAGTGTCCAGACTGGGCCAGACACAAAGATTGAATTTTCAGTTTATGTCATGTTTTATTGTATGGTGACAACACAGATGGAGGTTTCAGGAGTATTCCACATGCAGCCCAGTTTGCTATGAACCTTGGTCCTGCCTTCTAATTCATCTCACTTCCCAGCACACTCATCCCAGCTGCCTCTCGCTCATACATTCACACCCACCAAGCTGGAAGCTACACGTGGTGCCACGGCTCCAGGGATGTGCATCCTGCCCATCACACGATGCCAGACCTGCCATGGCACCCTCCTTAGCAAATGCACTACAGGGACTCCTCCTCTCCAGCTGGTGGCTTTTTTAAAATAACATTTGCTAGAACCTACTGTCTTTGAAACACTTAGTCTTTTTTAGAGTACAGGTAGGCAAAACCCTTGGGAAGGGGGAATGGCAGCTGCAGAGCCTGTTAGTGCATGCAGCACCCTGACACGTCCTGCTGGCAAACAGCTTGATTCCTGAGGGGAACCTGTGATATGTTTTACTCGATACCTAAATAAAATAAACAGTTACAATTTTTATACGAAGAGTATAATTTTAAAATAATAATCATGCCTAAAATTTTATAGAATCATAGAATAGTTTGGGTTGGAAAGGATCTTATCTAGTTAGAACGCCCCTGCCATGGGGAGGGACACCTCCCACCAGGCCATGTTGCTCAAGGCCCTGTCCAACCTTGCCTTGAACACTGCCAGGGAAATTTAAAAGACTTAAATTTAAAAATTATTAATTTATTCATGTGTGTTTCTAGATCCTGGCCTTGGGAGTTCAGTACTTTACAGCATCTTTTACTCTCTGAATATAAGAGCAAGCAATAAAGGAGATCTATTCTGAAACCTAACTTGTAAAAATAACGCTGTGGTGTCACATGTGTAATCTCAGAGATTTCATTTCTGCACTTAGCATCTTAGATCTGAATATAGTGGGGCTTTGGTTTGTTTTCATTTTTGATTTCATGCTGGCTGCCCTGTGACTACACACTCGGATGTTTCAGTTAAGCTGTTCTTTCATATTTCATTTATAAAACTGGGTTTATGTACCAAATTATGTCCTCATGTCTTCCATTTATGCTCTCCATGAATTCATGTACTGTGATAGGGTTACAAAGGTTCACCTGAACTATTCAAGATATAAGAACATAAAATAATCCGCTGTCCTGAGGGAAGGAAACAGTATTTTAGACTGTAAAACTGGAATATATTGCCTTGAATTTGCACAGGTGCTATCTCTTTATGTAAAACTGCTTTTTAGAGCATAATTACACATAAAACTTTATGGCCATTTATTAGATGAGTCCCTGCTTAGACACCAGAATCAGTGCCCTATTTTTAGAAATGCTGAATACCTTTAGCCCCTGGTGAGGAAATGCCAGTTTTCTTTGAAAGTAAGTGGTTTTGTTGAGGTGTTCCCATGGCAATAGGTATGTAAATTATAGTGCAGGATTTGAAATTTTTAAGAATCTATGTCACTTAATCCATGTGTTTACAGAACTCTTCAATCTGGCAAATCTAAAGGAATCGTATGACAAGCTTTAGATGATGGCTCTTTGGAAATAAACCTTCCCCTGTGTGGAAGCTGCAGGAGGGGCACTTTGAAACTAGACTGTTGGGCACGGTAACTTCTGGTGGGCTAGTGCAAGAGGCTTTTGTCTGCCAGTGTTGCTCTGAGCGCTGCACCAAAGAAGCGCTAACAAGGAAAGTTGGCTATGATGAAAAGAGCAAGAATTTGAGGAAGAGCCAAGACTTGGCGTTGCAGTTTGTAGGAAAGTTCTTGGCAGTAGCAGCAGGGTTTTTCCTCCTTAAGGAGATGCATCCAGTGTAATCGTTTTTGGAAGCGTCTTTATTTGTAACGCTTGTGATCTTGCATTTATCTCTCTTGGAGCACTATATTCCTGTCTTTGCATTATGCAGGACAAATGGTTAGGAGAGGACTGCTGCCTACGGTCTCATTGTAGGACCTCAGTTTGTGCATTTAAAACTCTACTGTGTATTATTTAAAGCAGTAAACATTACAGGCTCAACTTACCTGAAAGACTTTGTGGTGGCTTGCTTTCAGTTTGACCTTGGCTGGGCTCCTGTCCTGCTCCAAAGTGCTGTGAATTGGGAGTCTGAGGAGAAATCTCAGTGAGCCCTGACCACACAGAGCAGCTATGTGGTGGGCACAGCGCTGGGCATTTGGGGTGCATGAGTCTCTGTCTCTCACCTCTGCATGGCAGCACTTGCCATCTCCTTATACCTGACATCCTCTTCTGGGGTAATTTTCAGTCAATTTTGTTTTGAGAAAACCCCTACAAGCATCGTCTGCTGAAGAGGGTGTTAGGTCTTTTTGATGTTAAGTCTTGATACCTCTTCTGGTGCTGGTAAATAGAATTACCGTTGTCAGTCTGAGGTTTTAGGCAAAGTTTAAAAACCTGAGCAAATAATTTAATAAATATCTTGTCAATTAGCTTTCTTAAGGTATTTTTAGCCCTGGTTTGTTGAAGTGCAGTTGCCTGTGAAGTGTTGTGAAGAGCATGATTACTGTAAGCGCATGAACAAGTGGCATCTGGAGGCGACGTGGGGCTATGAATGGAGTCACTGTTGCAATACGTACTTCTGAGTTACTTACAGCTCTGTTTTGCTGTCTGCTGTTGTCAGCAATGGAAGACAGGAACAGCAGGATTTCAAACTTCCCAGTTTGCTTTAATATTAAGTATTGACTGACTGCAAAATCTGGATCTCTGTGGATGCCAGTGTTAAACATTGGCAGTTGTCAGGAAAACTTTTTCCCTTTTGTTAGTGTTTTTTTCTGTAAGTTAATCTCTGTTTTTAAGGTGCGAGTATTCTTTGAAAAGTCACACAACTTGACTTCAAACTAGTGACTTAAATTATGCACCACATGTTTGATTTATTGTGACCCCTCTGCGACAGAGTATGACAAAATAAGCAGGCCCAGCTTAGTGTGAGTCTTGTGAGAGAGACAAATTAATCACTCATTTTGCTGATTATCTGTTTTTCTCTTTGGTTGGAAAAAACAGTGCCCAGCTCTATCCTTTGAGGAATGCTGAAGAATGTCTGATTCCTTAAACTGATTCTGAGCAAATCGATATTCATAGCTGTTTACATCCAAGGTCCTTGTATCATACAAATTGCAAACAACCACTCAAACCTGTCATTTCGATTAGTAGCAGTGTGTTTGGGGGGACCATGTATGGTCACTTTTCTGTTTCAAGCTTTGCTTAGGGATTACAGTACACAGCTAGGACGATTTCAGTGTGGTTCTGCTCTCCTCCTGATCTTTAAAAGTTGGCACAGGGGGGAGGTCAGCCTCATAAATTTTCTGCCCGTGCCACCACCTTCTGCATTTGCAAATGGTTATTTCAGGTCCAGGTTCACCATTTATTTCACTAGAAGAGTAAGAGCCAAATCTCAAGTGTAACTGAGTAGCTGCTGTCTCACAGAGCAGATTGCTGCTGGGTTCATCGCAGTCATCAAGCCCAGTCTCCCTGCTATCAAAGGAGCATAGGTGCTATCTGATTAGTCCAAAGAATCTGAATACTGCAACAATCACAAAATATTACAGGTTTGTAACAGAAAGCTATACATTATAAGATGCCAAGTTGGTGGGAAAACCAACCCAAAACCATGTGATGTCAGAGGAATTGCCAGTGCCTTAGATTCCTGCAATAGGAAGAAATTTGAACTGTGAGATTCTTGGGAGGTTGAATGTACACCAGGAGGGAGAGAAACACAAAACTCTTTCCATGATCTTTGTCAGTCTGACCTCAAATCTGATTACTCAACTGTTTGACAAGCAAGATAAACCAGTCTAAACCCCCTTAAATAAATAAATCAAATCAAATCAATAAATAAATAATGCGAAGGGCTTGGCCAAGCCTGGGGACCCCCCCCCCCCCCCCCCCCCCCCCCCCCCAGAAAAAAATATCCCATTTATGGCTGTGACCAGTCTTCAGTGTTTTACAGGATAGTGGGAAAAGAAGAGAAGCTTGGACATCGTGACAGACTTCTTTGTAACTCCTAAATGCAGCCTAGTGGGAGCTTGAAGACTGGGATTTAAGTTGTATAAATAAGACACAATGAACATGCCTTCTTTTAACTCTCTCCATTAAGCTCAGGAAGGGGAAGATACTGCTGTGGCTTTAACCATTTCAAGCACTATGGAGTTGCTTC